CTTCCCTGCCTCTCTCTCTGATGCTGCAAAAAGCTCTTATTCACTCTTTGGGCAATTCCAGGACTTGTTCGTTTCCAATTTATTATATTTGGAAGCACTTTGTAATACAGGAGGAGATGTGGAGCAGAGCCCTGATGAATAAGTCATTATGGTTACAACAATAGCTGTGTCTGAGAAGATATTTTCATAACTCATTAGCACTGTTGCCATTTTGGAGGTGAAGGCATAAAATTAAACCTAGGAGCAGTTGGGCTTATTTTTCATAGACTTTCCCTGAAGTATTGCATGAGAAAGAAGGATAAATCAGGATGGGTGTAACTTTTGTAACTGCATTGATGAGTTTCCCAGGTGTAGTTTGTCAGCTCTTAACAGAATTAAAAGTCTTGATTCTACTCACTGTGAAGGTGCTGGAGATGCAGTTTCCCCGTGACACTGACCCTGCAATGTGCCATCATGGTCAGACAATGAACTTTCACTTCAGGGAAGACCTTTCATTCCTTTTGACAGAATATTCACATTTTCTGCTTCACTTTCCATGTCTTTGTTCCTTCCTTTGGATTTCCATTCTGTTTCAGACTCAGTGATACTTAACACTTTTCCTAGTGAGCTTTGGGGTTCCCAAATTCAGATTGCTCATGTCCCACTCTCTTAGAAAGCTTAATTATTTTCACCAGAGCAGCAGGAGCAGCTCCTAGCACTGTCCTAAGCTTTGCTGTCTCAAGATGTGGGTATAGGGAGAGAAATCTCCTTCCCCCATTCATCCTCTTCTCCAGTGAACAAGGTGGTGGAGACTCAGAGGCTGCTTGGCTGTTCAGAGAAGTTCAAACAGTGCTTGATATCCACATGTAGCCAAACCAGAGATGTTTTTATCGAGGAGTATGGCTAGGGGGGTGAGTTCCTAGAGTTGTTTTAGTCTTGCACTGCCTCTTCCCTCCCTGTTACAGTAACACCAGCCCAAAATCACCAGACTTAATACACCTAAACCAGGATTGAGCCCCAAACTCTCAGTGGTGATGAGGGAGACCCAGCTGAGGAACAGCCACATCAGGTGAATGCAGGTGTGGTTTGATTTCAGTGCTGCATTTCCCTTAGATTCTGTTCCCAAACCCCCTGGAGCTACATTTGCTTCAGTGCTGGTTCAGTGAACAGCTCTGAAATGGCTTCGTGTGTACCTTGCTCTGACAAACAGGTGATTGGTCTCCTCTGTGCTGCATTTCTAGTTTCTCAGAGGGTTCTTCTGTCTCAGCAGCTCCTCAATAAATGAAGGCATTATCAATGAGTATATTTATGGAAATTTGGACCACAAGTGCCATGTAGGGTAGCAGGATTGAACTTGTTGCTCAAAGGTCTTGAAAACTGATGAAATGGTCTCTTTAGGTAACATTTCTGCCTTACAGTGCTGCTTCTGGATGTGTTTTGAAAACTCTGTGTTTAACATTTCCATTTCCTAGGTGTGCCAAATACGTGCCTGTGATTGAGCTGTCAGTTTACTAGCTGATCTGAGCAGACAAGTTGATCAGGAGCACGATGCTTCCAGGTGTTCTAAACCACTTCCCAAGGCGATTGTATCATCTTACCCCCAGGAAGCAGTGTCTGTTAGGAAAAACAAGCTTGCTGTGGCTTTCCCTGCCCCCCAACCCTTTTCTGGCAGAGTTCCTTGCATTCAGAGTGCCTTTTCTCTGTGCCTAGGCTCCATAGACGAGGGGGTGACGGAGGGGCTGCCCACGATCCAGAGCACCTCGGGCGCCAACGCTCACGCGGACGACGACGATCGGTATGTACCACCCTGGTGTGCACAGCCTTCTGCTGTAATTAACCTCCCCAGCCCTCATCCCACAACGTTTGAGCTGTTCCTCCATCTCATTCTCTGTGTTGATCAAAGTACAATCAGTGCCTGGAGGGGCAGAGGCTTCAGAGGAATGTAGGTGAGGGAAGTCAGGAGTTGCTTTATGTGTTTCCAGGCAGCACTGGTGAAGGTGTTCGTGATATTCAAGATAGTCATGTTTTTGCTGGTTCTTCATCACTGCTCCTTATGAATAAACTGAACAGAAATCTTTAGAGTGAAACATGCTGAAGCTGCCACAGCCCCAAACAAGCTGCAAACAAGGTTCTAGTCTGACTGCACCAGATGTTGCTAGTGCCATATACCACAGGACAGGCAGAGCAGCCTTAAATCTCTTCTCCCAAACTTTCTGCCTGTAGCTCCTTCCCAAAATGCTGTGTGTCACTTGCTGTAAATATTTAGCAGCCTTTGCTATGCTGAGTTATTAAGGGGATCCCTTATAAGGGAAGGCTGGCAGAGAAAGCCAAACTAAAATGGGTCTGTTTGGTCAAAGATGTATTGTGGTGCTGGTAGAGCCAAGTGATGTACCTACACATGGCTACACACAACTGGTTTGACTTCTATTCCTTAGCTATTCCCTTTCTAAGCACATTTTTCCAAGCTGGCTCATGCACAGTGTTTTGTCAGACAAGTGGGGCTGAGGATGGAGTGTGAACCTTTGGGAGTTGTTCCAGAAACTGTGTCAAGTGCAGTTCCCTATAGAGATAACCAAGAGCTGCATTTTCCTAGCTCATCAAATCTCTCCTGCCATTTCCATCTCAGACCTGTCCCACTGTAGGATTAAAAAGGGAAAATAACTGCTTAGATCAGACTTTTTGTATGACATGGAAGATTCTATCTGTCTGCTAACAAACCTCAGTGCAAAAATAACCTACAGCACTTAGGGCTCGAATTAATAGCAGGAGCACATGTTGCATTAGAAGTAATCCAGGTTTTTAAAGCTCTAATTCCAAAGTCAAGTAGCACACATTTGCAGCAGTGAATTAATTCAGAAATTTCCTATAAAATTGCAGAACTTGAGCACAAACTGCACTGAAAATAGAAAAAAATATAAAATCCTTTAAACACACTGAAAATTCCCACAAAAAGATCTCTCTCATGCAGAGAAGGAAAGAATATTTGCCTTAGTTTATGCCCAGATCTGAAAGTAATTAGACTCAGAGTGAGACTCATCTGCAAAGTGAAGTCAAATTTGCATCTCGTTTATATAACAATAAGAGAACTAACAGTTAAGGGAATTTAGACTCCAGAACTCAAATTTGCTACCAAGTGATTTACTTTCTAAATTCAAATGAAAGTGCCAAGGCTGTTCTCATTCCAGGAGTCAGTTAAATGTATAAAATGATGCTTTCCAAGCAGTTTCCTTCCAGGTGTGTGTGTATTTGCCTGGTCAGGGTGGGACAGAGCACTGGGATACACTGGGACAGCCCTTCAGGCACTGCTTAGATTCCCCTTTCCAGCACAGGGTGGGCACATCAGCACAGAAATATGGTCTGACACTCACTGTGCAGCTCTCTGGGCACACAGGTTTGGGTGCATAAGACCTGTGAATGAAATGAAGCATATTTTTAGCTGAATTAGGTGAAAATATGATTAATAAATCATAAGGATGGAGAAAATTCTCCTCACTTTTTGGTATTCTCTTTTGCACCTTTAGTTTGAGTCTATGTTGTACATTTCTCTACTAGAAAAGATTCTCCAGATGCCAAAACCAGTTGTGTGTGTCCAGTGCAAATTTCTGTTGAAAAACATGTTTTTCTACGTATATATTACATTTCTCTTCCTAAAACAAAGCAAAGGACTAGTCCAACTAAAGGTCTCTCAATATTCCAGACTCACCACTGTGGAAAGAACCATAAATATTTCAAAATCTAAGATGTCTTATCTCTTGAGTTTCTGTCTTAAATAATTAACATCATTAATTGGAGCCTCCTCCATAATCAGTGTTTCATAAACAGCAGGTCACATGTCACTGTTGTCAGCTTAATAGGCACACAGGAATCTGTGAAGTATTAAAATTGCTGCTTCATGATGAATTCTGAATCCAGCATAGATCTGGGACTCAGCTGCTTGAGCAGTTGGTCTCTGCATCAGTTTGTGGCTGCACTTAAAAGGAGTTGTGAAAGGTCTAGTGGAATGAGAACCTCCACTCTTCTGAAACAATTGTTAGGTACAAATAGAGAACATTTCTAGGCTCACTGAGCATTTTGGCGTTCAGGTTTGTCAGAGTTTAGTTCTACACAGCTAAATATGTGTTTAATCTCTTGGGGAAGAGAAGAAGAAATTGCAAGTTGGATATTTCAGTGAAAACATCTGAAATCTCTTTACAGCTGGTAGAGAAATTCTCTGAGATGTCAGATCTCAACTGTTAAATGCCACATTTATCACAAACTGCAAGTCAAGAAAAATGTATATAGTGTATATGTATCCATACTATATGTATCTATGGGGGGAAGAAGCAGGGGAGGGAAAATCTGGTTGTATTTCTAATGTAGTCTTCATTGTGCTGAGGCCCACAGTGATGTCACCTGTAGGTATTTCAGCCTGTTTGCAGAGAATCCAATGATTCCCATTGGATCTACTCTAACCAGCCCATCATGAGGCTTTTGTGAAGGGAAAAACACTTTATTTGAAATTTCTTCTTGGGAGATTGTCCCCATAGCACTTCTCCTTCTGTGTCAGTGGCAGAGGAGGTGGCAGCAGCACAGCTCTGAGGGTGAGCTAAGCCTGACAGAGCTGGAAACAAAAAAGGAGCTGAGGCTCCTGATTTCTGCCCTAGTTCAAGAGTCTCTGGAGAAAGATTCAGGAGCTCAATGTGCTTTAGTCTCCTCACAGTCCCCGAACACAGCAATGAGGGAGGAGGGACCTGACAAACATGTCATTAGAAGATGAAGTTCTGTTGTCACAAATCCCAAATGTAATTCTTATCTGAGCACACTACATGTGTGTCTGTTCTTTATCTAGAGATCTGCTCACAGAGAGGAACAGGAGTGCCAGAGCTGGTTGGCAGTTTGGTTAGATGAGTCAGAACCTGTCTTTAAAATACTCTCATTTATTCCAAGAACCCTCAGTTGGCTTTTTCAGACCCCAAAGTGGCAGTGAGCTCCATTCTGCCAGGCCCAGGACATGAGCTGGTAACTTCCCTTTGCAAATATTCCCTCCATTACAGATCCCCAAGTGTGTCAGCCTCTCTTTTTTCACAGCTCTCTGGGAACCTACTGTGTATAAAAACAAGTGAAAGACAATAAAATTTCTTCTGTAGAGCAAATATTTTCATGTGAGACCAGAAATCCTTATGGGTTTTACAGACCCATAGTGATACTAAACTCTTGCAGCAAACTCTTTCATCTTGTGTGTATCAAAAGATACCTGGTGCTCTCTCTCCAGATAAATTTTACAACTGGCACTTATGCTGCTGAAACCTATCACTGACTCACCATTCAGGTTCCCACTCCTTATAGTGTAGTGACATCCTTTTTCAGAGCAGATCAAGACAATTTAGGTGTTGATTTTAAGAAGATCATAGAATCGACCAGGTTGGAAGAG